GGGGGCATGAATAATTAAATAATGATGCTGTTCAAAGACGCAACTGATGGGTTAAAAAAAATAATTCAGGCCCTAGCCTGTGTGGCTCAGTGGGTAGGAGCCAAAAGGTCCCGGGTTCAATTCCTGGTAAGGGCACATGCTTAGGTTGCGGGTTCAATGCCCAGCCTTGGTTGGGGTATGTGCAGGAGGCAACCAATCCATGTTTCTCTCTCACATGGATGTTTCTCTCTCTCCCTCCCTCCCCTTCCCCTCTCTCTAAAAATCAATGAAAATGTCCTCGGGTGAGGATTTGAATAAGAACGAACCAGGACAAGGACAAGAAGAATTCAGCCTGCCGGTGTGGCTCAGTTGGCCCAGCACCGTCCCACACACTGAAAGGTCCCAGGTTTGATATTAGGTCAGGGCACATGCCCAGGTGGCAGGCTTGATCCCAGTTGGGGGAGCATGCGAGAGGTAGCTGATTGATACTTTCTCTCTCTCTCCCCTTCTCCATTCCTCTCTCTCAAAAAAAAAAAAATCAATAAAAATTATTTTTTCAAAAACAAATTTATTTTCAAAAAAAAGAAAAAAAATTAATAATAATAATTCAGACCTCAGAGATGTCAAAATGAGAGAAAAGAAAAGTGTGTATCAGAGGGCTGAAGCCTTCAGTAACTTGCAGACCCTAAGACCCTTGTAAACGGAAACCTGCTTTGGGAACCCTAAAATACACCAGAAACTGAAAATACCATATTTATCAAAGACATCGCTATTTGTAAGATGCATTAGTGAAAACAGAATGTGGGGGCAGGGGGGGAATGTATCTTACAACTGCTGAAATAGGATACTTTGTAAACCCTGAAAGTCCCTGAAGTAGGAAAAGATTTTGTAACCCCATAATGCCTTATAGACTAAAAAATACTTTGTAAACCCAAAAATTCTTAAACTGGAAAATATTTTCTAATTCTAAAGTGCCTGGTAAACGGGACAGTATCTGTAAACACAAAGGGCTTTGTAATCCGGAAAATACCTCATTAAACTTAAAGTGCCGTAAGAAGACAGGCACCCTGGGCCCGGGGCGGAGCCGAAGCGCCCC